ATATTTTACATAGGAAGAGTTATACAAAGAAAAGAACTCCATTTAAGGAGAATATTGTACATGGAAAAGGATTAGAGGACAAGCAATGCGAGTCCTACCATGATTCTACTATACTATTTGTGTATAAATAGAGGCCCAGACTTCCAATAAAGGGATCAAGCAATTCTACGCTTTTCTATACACTAATCTTATTTATTCTTATTGTTTTTGAGTGAGTTGTTTGATTTTTCTCAATCATTATTGGTTTAGCGGAATTTTGCACCTACAGGGCCTCTTAGCCCACCATTGTAAATTAATCTAGACAGACTATACAGTTGTTTTACCTTCCCACAAAAAAAAGTTGGGCTAGTCGGGGAAAAATAAAAAATTATATTCATTGGGCCATGGTAATCCAAAAACTTCAGCCAACCCACCAAGAAATTAATTCAATTAACTTGTCTTAATTCAGTTTGAGATTGTTATGTCTTGCACCGTATTTTTTATTTATTTTAATAAAACAGGAGAGTCAGACTTAATCAATTTTATTGATTTTATTCGTTACTTATTTCTTATTCTCGCTTTGGGACAAATTATTTAATGCAAGCATGAGATAGCATATAAGAAAAATCATTTTCCTTTATTTTTTGTTTTAGAATTTTAGCGATTGACAAACAATTTACGTCCCAATTTGATTGAGCTAGAAATTTGTGATCAAAAAGTTTTTAATGGTTAAAAATCATGAAGATCGAGATTTCTAAAACATTTATTGTCCTAATAAATTTTAATAAAATTTTAAAAGAGTATTTTTGTCTTAAAAAGTAATGTTAGTAGAATCCCATAAAAATAGAAACTTAAAGTAATTAATGCATTTAAAATTAATCAATCCTAACTAAGACTATGAATGAGCAGTCACTTGCACGACTGTAATTAGCACTCCTCTTCTCTTCAAATATAAGTGAACTTTAAAATCAAAATCTTTATCTAATTGAAAAATAACCTAACCTCAGGGGTCTGAGTGTAATTTATCCTTTTAAAAATTTATGAAGATGCCCTCACTAAAATTACATTTCGCCCTACTGAATTATTATTTTTGCATTTTATATTTTAAATTTTTTAAAATTTATGAAGACCATTAAAATTATAAAAATAGACTCACTCTATAATGTTTGTCTCACAAATTATAAGGCTGTTCCCTCACATAATTTTTTGGGTCAGTCAATGTAATCTCACCAAAAGTAAATCTCACCGAAAGTAAATCTCTCATACACAGCGGCTATGCAGAAAGAAGATCAAGTGTAGAAGGAAAGCGCGGAATATTAAGAGCAGTTGGGAGTAGCATTAGATACTTAACACGTTATTGATGTTCATTAGATGTAGATACTTGCAGCACTACAAAATTTTTAATGCAAATATGAAAAAGTGAAAGAGAAAGACTGTGGAATGAAAATAAAAATAAAAAATTAAATTTTCATCATGCATTTGATTAGTAAGAAATTTTTTGAATAAAGTTGTGAGAAAATATTATTTTGTTAATTTGAATAACATGAAAAAGATAAAAAATATATATATATATATATATATGATTATGCTTATTAAAATATCTTTCTAATTTCAAATACTAAAAAGATTGATAACATACGTAAACAACTATATAGAGAAACTGATTGGGGGAAAACTAGAAAAGTAACATATAAAAGCACAGTTTTTGTGAGAATAAATTTTCAGTGTTTTATAAGAGACATATTTTGAGGAAAGTTCATGAGATGCGGGATTGACATTACCTGATTATTCATCAAATTTCATGTTGATTTTGGAGTTAGTTTGGATGGTCATCACGTCAATTTACGTACCAATTTGATTAATTGAGAAATTTGTGATCAAAGAATTTTAATGGCTAAAAATCATGAAGATAAATTATTTATTGTCCTAACAAAATTTTAATATTTGAAATTGTGTTAATCCTTTCAACTAATGTACTTTGAAATTTAATTTGAAATTTGTATTGGAAAGTTGAGCACCGACGCAGCTAAACTTGACAAAGGCAAATCTCTCTCTCACACGCACACATAGTGGCCATGCGGAAAGAAGATAACTGTAGGAGTATTAGATACGTAACACTTTATTGATGTTCATTAGATGTAAACTATTGTGAGAAACTAGTAACACGATATATATATATATAATTGTCAGGAAAAGGAAGCGGAAACCCTATGTTGGCGCCTTCTTGATCAGGTGGCGAATCAGTAATTGGTGGAGGCGGTGGAGGCCATTTTTGAGGTGTTGGCTCCAGTTTGGGAAATGGTGGTCAAATCTTCAGTTGGTGGCTTCCCAAAACACCACCACGACCCGCAACCCTGCAGCTTGTTTTGTTTTGGAGAATTTACAGAAGTAGTGTCGAACCCTCCAAGTGCAGCCTGTGCTGGATGGTCATTTGTTATCTTGGTAGTATTTCCATTAATATTGTCATACGGAGCACTTCTGCTATGTATTAACGGAACCAAGACAAGCAACAAAACGAGCAGTGCAAATGAAGAAGTATATAGCTTCATTATGATGATGATGACTTCTTAATTTAAGTAGAGACCTCTCTTCTCTTGTACAGCTTTTGTTAAACTAGGGCAGTGATCACCAAGGATAGGGTATATATATATATATATGTATAGTGAGAGAGAGAGAGACTCAATTTGTACTTGTGATTTCATTGAGAACCAACAAAAACTTAGGTGGGTTGGTATGCACATTGCACATGCAGTGCTAGGTAGTATTGGAAGATGACATTTATATAAGACGTGGCCACAAGACATGACATTAATTAAATACTACTACGGACTGAAACATAACATGTTAAACAAAGATTATGAGTGCAAGAAAAGTCTAATAACGGAAGGCCATTTAGCAAATAAGTGGGTTAGTTTGTATGAAGAATTTTGAAGTGTTAGATTTAGACTTTGTACATCTATTAGTCTAATTTTTAACAATTTTTTGTCTTCAAAAAAAAAAAAAAAAAAAAATGTTGGTAATTTGATGACTTCTCTTACATTCTTAATGTACGCCTTTAATTTGGATATTGTATAGTTAATATTTTCTTCCATCATGCAATTTTTCATTGTTGGATTGATTGTCTGGTTGCCGAGTAGGTACATGAAATTAAGAGTTTTATTTTTCAGAACTATAGTTGGTGATAGGAATTTAAGAGTTTAGAATATGTATGTCTATAGTGTAACAAATGTCATTTGTCTCGTATCAAATTTGGATAGAAAAATGATTGAGTATAAATATGTGAGTATGCAGCACTACCCAACAATTTAAATTTTTGAATAAATAGACAAACACCCACCTATTACAAACTATAATATTTTATTATTAAGAAACTTCACATTGATCGTATTTTACTGTTATTTTTTATGATATACTAAAGTCCCGCCAACTTCTGTATGATATATTAGTGTTTGAAACTAATCATAAAATTAATAATTAAAATTAAAATCTATTGATGAAGGACTTCACTTTTTGAAATTAAATGAAACTTTTTTTTCTTTTTCTTTTTTTGTTAAAAAAATTAAATGAAACTTGTTAGACTAATCCTAATGTATAATGAATCCAACTAATTTGTAAATCACCCAGCTAAATATTGATTTTGTGGCAGAATGCCTTTTCTTTTTTATTAGAAAACAGAAGAGGGGACTTAATAATTTGAATTTTGGGTTGGGCTTCATGATGTTTGGATTGGGCCATTAATGGCTTGTGGTTTTGCCTAGGTTTCTATCTTTGTCGTTTGGGCTTAATTTCTATTGCGGCATTTTTTTCCTTTACATTAATCTTCTCTTTTTAATAAATCTGCTTTACCTTTCAAAAACAATAATAATAATAATAATAATAAAAAGAAAGAAAAGAAAGGAGGTGGACAAAATGGGTAAAAAAAATCCAGCCAAAGATTATAATGGTTTGGTTCCATTCAGTTAACTAGTTAAGGATAAAATTTGGACAGTACCCGAAAGAAGTGTTTTTGGGTGAAAAAGACCCATTTAGCTAAATTAGTTACTGAGCCAAATTGATTTTCAACAGAAAATCTTCGTTTAGGGTTCTAAAATTGTGCGTTTTCTTATTTTCGGATTCTAAAATTGTGTGTTTTCTTATTTATAGGAGGCCTGAGCCTAAACATAAGTTGGATTTATCTCAAATTTTATATTCAGTAATTTTTGTTATTAGGTTAATAATTAATTTTATATTATGTTTGTTTTTCTATTTTTTCAAAAAATTTAGACAAATTTTAAGTTTTTAGGCTTATTTTTAATTTTAGTATTACTTTGTTTTGCTAATTCAATTAAATTATCAATAATATCTCATAGAATTCTTTGTCAATTTCTTTCTCGAACGATTTCCCAGCTTTCCCCCTACATCAATTGCCATCATTACTTATTTCTTTTGCTCTGTAGATTCAATAGCTCCTTGCGAAATTTTGTTGATTTTAGTCATTAATTATTTCTTATATTTTTTTCAGTAGAAATTATTTAAATGCAAGCATGAGAGAAAACATAAGCAAAATCATTTTCCTTCCTTCTATATTTAATTAAAACTTTTAGTGATTTGACAATTTTCCTGATTATTCATCAAATTTTATGTTGATTCTGGAATTAGTTTGAATGGTGATCATGTCTACTTACTTACAAATTTGATCGAAAATTTGTGATCGAAGAAGTTATTGGTTAAAAATCATGAAGAACTAGATTTCTAAAACATTAATTGTACGTCGACCTAACAAAATTGTAACATCGGAAGTTGTGTTTTTCGTTTCATTCTCACCTAAAGTAAATCAACAGTGGCTATGCAGAAAGGAGGTAAGTGTAGAAGGAAAACACAGAATATTGAGAGCAGTTAGGAGCAGAATTAGATACTTGACACTTTATTGATGTTCATTAGATGTAAATTCTTGCAACACGATATATATATATATATATAGGACCACAATTTCCATTATTTTTCCATACAATTAAAGAGTGCAAGCGAACACCATATATAATCTACTTGTCATGGAATGGAGGCCGAGGCACTGTGTTGCCATGCCCTGGATGAGGTTTCGTATCAGTAATTGGTGGAGGAGACCCCCAATTCTCAGTCGGTGGGGGTCTCGTATGTGGAGGCGGAGGAGAACCCCAATTCTCAGTCGGTGGGGGTCTCGTATGTGGAGGCGGAGGAGACCCCCAATTCTCAGTTGGTGGCTGTGTGTTTTTTGGAGGTGGTGGTGGAGGGCCGTGTGGCTTCATTTTCCGATTTGGTGGTGGCGACTTTTGTTTTCGTTGACACTTCGGAGACGGCTTTCGTTTTGGGGAACAAGATGACGATTTGTTCTTGGAAGGGGAACATGGAGTAGGCGCCTTGTTTCGTTTTGGAGGCTGTGGTGGCCCATAGGGCGGATATTCGTAGTAGGGAGGAGTTGACGGTGGCGGCGGCGGTTTTTTGCCTATTGTTTCAACCTGATGTCGTGTTTCTTCGGATTGGTTTTCATTAGAATCGTCGGTATTGGCAAAGGCATTGTTGGTGCAATATATTGCAACCAACAGCAACAAAATGAGGAGGAAAGATGAAGTTTGTAGCTTCATCGATCCTAACATAATCAACTCTGTTATGCAGCCACTAGTGGAGAGATTGTGAGTAGGGCATTGACCAATGTTAGATATGTATATGCATATATATATATATATATAGACTTTGGAGTCCAAATTGTGACCTCACGAAACAAACAAAAACTAAGCTAGGGTTAATGGCGTACATTTTGCACATGCAAATGTGGAGTGGGGAATGCACATGCAATGCTAGGTGATAGTAATGGACGATGGTAGGTCCAACAGACTGAAGTAATAAGTAGTGTAACTTTTCTAATGTGTGGAGATCAGGGATTTAATTACGTACCATAACATATATTTTCACGTTCATGAAAAAGAATGCTTGATAATGGAAGCCCTGAGCAAAAAGGTTGGTAGAATCACTCTGGTATGATCATTAATGTACAATATAGTTATAACTCACACAAACGCCATTGTTTCCATCATCTGGTTGCAAATAAGTATGGAGAGCATGGGGTTTGTTTCGGAAGATCGATAGATGGTGGTAAGAGGAGGATTTAAAGATCGAGCTGAAATGTGTGTGTGGAAGTCATCACTTAGCACAATCTACCAAACCTCTACCAACTTTTAGTTCGAGAAGAAACCTAACAGGTAAGGAATAATTTGATCTGTAGCATAGAATTAGTTTCTTGTAATTTAAGAAAAAAAAACTTGAGTTGTTGGGTAGTGTTGCATACTCACTCATATATACTCCATTATTTTTTCATCAGAATACGACGAGATGAATCCCCATGTAACACCAGTCCACTCATTATACACTCGTGTAAGCCCCGTGGTTCAAGGGGGCTCCGGCTCGCTAGCAAAAGGAAGGGACACAGACACAGTGTTAGCCTTGGGGAAGTGGTGGTGGTGGCTGGGGTAATCGATTTCAACAGATCATATGCGGAAGTGTTGAAGTACAGCCCCAGTTGGATGGTGATTTGTTATCTTGGAATTATATCCAACAATATTGTCATAATGAAGGAAGCAGTGCTGCGCTGCTATGTATTGCAACCAAAACTACTAGCAACAAAATCACCGGTATAAATATATAGGGGCAAAAATATAAAATAAAATTAAAAAAAAAAAAAATCAGCAGTATTAATGAAGTAGTATACAGCTTCATTATGACTTCTTAATTTATTGAGCTTTGTTTTTTTTTTTAAAAAAAGTTAAAATTTCAATTAAAAATTATTGAGCTTTGTTGTGCAGGCTTTGTATATAGGGCAGTGACTTAGGGTATATATATAGAGAGAGAGAGAGACTCAATTCATAATCTCTAATTGTGATTTCACACACAACCAACAAAAACTTTTAGCTGGTGGGTTGGTATATGCACATTGCACATGTAATTTTAAGTGCAGATTAATTTAATTTACTAAAATACAGTGGTGGATGCACATGCACATGCGCATGCACATGCAATGCTAGGTAGTATTGGAAGATATATAGCATATAGACATGCATGTGCCAGAACTCATGAGATTAATTAATAACATATCATCATGTTCAAAGAAGACTATGAGTGCAAGATATGCCTCACAACGGAAGGTCATTAGCAAACTAGTTGGTGCTTAATTGATGAATTCTTTTACGTACATTCCTTTTGTACAACTTTAGTTTGGATCATACTTCATATTTTCTTCCGGCAGTTTTTCGCTGTTTGATCCATCTGATTGCAGAGTAGCAGGTAGATGAAATTACGGATTTTTTTATTTTATTTTATTTTGTTAATTTTAGTTATTACATATTTCTTATTCTGTTTTTCGGAGAAATTATCAAATGCAAGTACGAGAGAAAATAAGAGAAATCATTATATTTTGCTTTAAGAATGTTAGAGATTCACAATTTACGTGATTATTCAGTAAATTTCATGTTGATTCAGAGTTAGTTTGGATGGTCATCGAGTCAAATTGCGTACCAATTTGATTAAGAAATTTGTGAGAAAAAAGAATATTGTAATGTTTTTAAACCACGAAGAGATTTCTAAAACGTTTTCATTTCCAACTAATGCACTTAGAAATTTGCAGTCGAATATTGTTGAGCATGGATGCATGCTAAAATTGACAAAAGTAAGCACAATGCATAAGGCAAGTCTCACTCAGTGGCTAAGGATAAAGAAGAAAAGTGTAGAAGGAAAGCACATAATATTGAGAGCAGCAAGGAGTAGAATTAGATACTACTTGAAATGTTCATTACATGTGAACTCGATCTTGTGAAAAACTGGTACCACCATACATATATGATTTATTGGACCCCACAAATTTCATAACTATTAAAGCGCGAGCCCTGAATCAGGTGGCGAATCAGTAATAGGTGGAGGCGGTGGAGACCTTTTTCGAGGTGGTGGAGACTTTTGTTTTTTATGACACGGTGGTGGTGGTAATGGCAGCCGGTTTCATATTGAGCAAAACTTTTCCGAACGTGGTACTTCCGGCATGATTAGTTTTGGAGACACTGGCGAATTTGGTAGCTCAGAGGCGTCATTGCCCTGCTGTGGATGGTGGTCAAGTCCCAACCATTGGGTTTCTTCGGCTTGGTTTCCATTAATGTTGGCAAAGGCATTGTTGGTGCAATATAATGCAACCAACAAGAAGAAAATGAGGAGGAAAGATGAAGTTTGTAGATTCATCGATCCTAACCTAATCAACTCCATCTCATACACAGACCCAGTGGAGTAGTTGTGAATATGGCATTGACCAACGTTAGGTGTGTGTGTGTATATGTATATATATAGACTTTGTAGTTCCTAATTTTAAACTCACAAAAGCTAAGCTGGGTTAATTGTGTGCACATGCAACTTTGGAATGGGGAGTGCACATGCAATGCTAGGTGCAAAGCTTCCACATAAAAGCTAGCAATAGCTAGTTATGGAAGATTGAAGTGAACAACTTTCTAATAATTTCATGCAGACACAGAGTTTAATTACCATACCTTTTCATGTCCATGAAAAGAATGTATGTGCTTGATAATGGAAGCCCCTGAGCAACATGGTTGGTAAACCACTATGGTATCACTAATGTACATTCGAATTATAACTGTGTTCATCACGTAAATGCCTATTGTTTCCATCGTCTGGTTGTTGTGTGTGTGAAATCCATCACATAACACAGCCTAAGAAACCTGCATCATGTGCCTAATTTCAGTGCGACAATGGAGAAGAAACCTAAGATGTAATATTTGATATTAGGGTTTAGGTTTGTCAAATTACTGGAGTGTCAGTTCGTTGTTGTTTGCTCCATCGGTCTGGTTGCAGAGTTGGTAGATGAAATTATTGATTTTATTTTTCAGAAGCTATAGTTGGTGATAGGAATTTAAGAGTATACAAAGCATGTATATATATATATATATATATATTTATTTATTTGTAATGGTAAAGCAAACACACCCATTATATTCTGTTCCAGCTAGAAACTAACATTAACGCCCCCAAGACCTCAACTGGGGCACATACAAGTCTAAGATATTCTGTGGAGTTCAAAATTTTCCTTTTCCTATTAGAAACATCATATTTTTCGTTTTTTATTTATTTATTTATATATATATTTTTTATGAGATGATAGTCCGACCAAGATTTGTACGATATTTAACTGTTTGAAATTAAATCATAAACTTAATGGTGAGAATTAAATCTATTGATAAAGGACTTCACTTTTATGAAATTCAATGAAACTTGTTAGATTAAGCCACAACTTGCTTTCAATCTAAAAATTTTTATCTGATGCGTAACATGGTTCAATTGGATCGTGAAATCAATTCTGATTGAGATTGATCCAACTAAAATATCTTGATTCAAATTGATTTTTATTTTTTTGGGAATTAGGATATCCAGAGTTTTACTTAACTAATTCCAGAAGACTGTCTCTCTACACGAATCAGTAAAATTTGATTGAGATTGATACTGTTCCCTCAGTTTTTCAGTCTTTTTTAATTAGAAAATAGAATAATCAGACTTAAGTCAAATTTGGATGGAGAAAACGGGAGAAGAACATTTAAATTGCCTCCGTGTATAACAACTCATGACTATATCAACAAGAAAGGTTGTAAGAATCAATAAAAACTAATAAAGAGTTCTTAATTTTATTTTTATTTTATTTTTTTATGGGAAAAAAATAATAATAATAATAATAATAATAACAAAAACAAAAACAAAAAAACAAAAGATGAAGTATCCCACACACCTCTCCACCTCAGGGCACACATAACATCCCACAAGTCACATATACCGAGCAAGATTGAATAAGTCACCAGGGTTTAAGTTTTCACCCACCAGGTCAACTTGCAAGCAGTATTAAAGGATTCTAATTTGAATTCACAGTATCACATTTTAAGCTATTTTTGGTTTCTAAGCTTGGGGAGGGAATAGGGAAAAAATGAAACTGAAAGCAACAAGGAAAAGCAGATATGAGAAAGGAACAAAAAAAAAAAAAAAAAAAAAATTCAAAATTTTGTTGATTTTAGTCATTACATATCTCTTATTCTCTCTTCCGGAGGAATTTGTTTAATGCAAGTATGAGAGAAAATAAGAGAAATCATTTTTCCTTATTTTTTGCTTAAGAATTTTAAAATTTGATAATTTGCATGATTATTCAGTAAATTTATTGTTGATTTTAAATTAGTTTGGGTGGTCATCTAGTCAAATTACGTGCCAATTTGATCAAAGAATGTAATATTTTTTAACCACAGAACATCGAAATTTCTAAAACGTTTTCATTTTCAACCAATGCACTTCGAAATTTGTACTCGAAAGTTGAGCATCGATGGATGCTAAAATAGACAAAAGTGAGCACAATGCATAAGGTAAATCTCACTCACACAGTGGCTAAGGAGAAAGAAGACAAGTGTAGAAGGAAAGTACGGAATTTTTTTTTTTTATGTTCATTAGACGTGGATGCCGTGGAGGCCTTTTTCAAAGTTTCCACAAAGTGGTGGCGACTTTTGTTTTTTTGACACAGTTGTGGTGGTAGTGGCGAAAGGCGGTGACCATGCCGGTGGCTTTAGTCTTGGAGAAAGGCGGTGACCATGTCGGTGGCTTTAGTCTTGGCGAAAGGCGGTGACCATGTCGGTGGTCGGTGGCTTTAGTCTTGGCGGGCAGTTTCGCCGTCCACACCATGAAAGCTTGTTTTGTTTTGGAGAATTTGGTGGTGCGGAGGTGCCATTGCCCGGCAGTGGATGGTCAAGCCCAAGCCCAAGCCCCAACCATGGTGTTTCTTCGGATTTATTTCCGTTGGTATTGTCAATGTTGGCGAAGGCATTGTTGGTGCCATATATTGCAACCTACAACAAGAAAATGAGGACCACCAATGAAGCTATCCTTCCTAAGCTAACAAATTCTCTAAATGCAACACAAGTGGAGTGGTTGAGTAGGGCATGGACCAACTGTTAGGTATGCATATATATATATATATAGACTTTGGAGTCCTAATTGTTATCTCACAAAGGTAACAAAAGCTAAGCTAGTAATGGTAATGTAAGATGGCAAGTCCAACCGATTGAACCTAGCAATGGTGTGCACATTGCACATGCAAATGTGGATCGGAGAGTGGAGTGCACATGCAATGCTAGGTGCAAATGTTCCACAAAAAAAGCTAGCTAGTAATGGACGATGGCAAATCAAACCGATTCAAGTAACTTTCTAATAAGCGGATCAAGAAACAAATGCAGAGAGAGCTTAATTGCCATAACATTTCATGTTCATGAAAAGAATGTGCCACATGATGGAAGCCCCCGAGCAAGAAGGTTGGTAAACCACCCTGGTACTAATGCACATTCGAATTATAACTGTGTTCGTCACATAAATGCCAGTGTCTGGTTGAAAATAAGTAGGTAGGGCATGCAATAAAGAGCTGAAATCTGTGTGAAAGCCATAACATAGCACAACCTACAAAACCCTTGCTCGCTTTCAGTGCCACAACGGAGAAGAAACCTTAAGATGTAAATAATATCTTATGCAAATTAGGGTTTAGGTTACTCAAACTACTGTAGTGTCACCTCCTCCTACAGGAGAAGGATTCAAATGTGACACAGACAGAAACATAAAACTCTGGATTGTTACACGGTGAAGGATAAAACCATTTACAGAAACCTCAAGGGTGGGCAAAGCCGTATTTCCATGAGAGCACACAATTAATTTACAAAAACAACATGAATATATTAAATGTATCATTCTTTCTGTGTCTAGATGTCAACTGGTGCAAGAAGAAGGTTGCAAATTATTAACATAAACAAATAAAACAAACAAGTAAAAAACCCTTAACAGAGTTTTCATTTTTAGGAGTAATATGTACCAGCCTTTTTTATAAAAAATTATGCTACAGACCACAAGAACAATGTCAAGCTTTTGTATGATCTTGATTTCATTATATATATAATATATCACACATGTTCTGCAGGCGAGGTAAAGAATTTCGTCCAGTTAAATGACTTTACCGACATATATCATCCCTTCGATGAAGTTTGAGGTCACCTACGTTTGCAAATGAAAATAAAATATTGTAGAACCCGAAAACGAACCTTGCAATAAGAAAGCGAGAATCGATCGAAAATTAGTTCAATTCTAAACTAATGCTAAACTGACACAAAATCAACCGAATTAACCCCCTGAAATCTACAAGTTCACAACAATTTACAAATTCAAATGCATTTACAATTACTGTAAATTTGCGTGAGAAATAAAAAATTAAAAATTAAAAAAAAAATTTAATAAGAAAGATTTTTTTTGCACTTTGTGTCACCACTTCAGGAAATAGTTGCAGCCAATCTTGGAAGTCCTGAAACTTCCAACTCAAAACACAATATTTCTGAAAAGAAAATATTTTAAACTCTAAATAGTCTAAATGGCTAGCATAATGATAGCAACGTTTACATACTCAACTTTAATAGGCTTAAAATCCAGCATCTTCACGAGACCTTCACCAACTCATGCAAACGCCGCAAAGGCAGGGCTTCTGCAGCAGAGGAACATGAAAACATCAGCAACAATGACAATGTATAACAATGATTGAAATATATGAGCAGACATGCAGAACCCAAAATAGTGACTGAAAATCGATGAAATGACAAGGGATGTCATAATATGCATAAGAACTGCATGGCTTAAGCAGCTATGAGATGCCCAAATCATTTCAGTTCATATTTTATAAATGGCAGAGTTTTGAGGATGTGCTTTTCCCTTGTGCTATTGCAGACACCGTTCATGCTTGTGGGTGTCTTTTCTAATCTATCGCATTTTGAGGCTACACTCGATTTGGGAGTTTAGATAATGAAAAGGAGAAAAATGATACCAAAAGCAGGAAGGAAAAGCGACGGAATTTTCTTTTCTTTGTTTCTTTTCTCCTAATTCCTGATTATTATTTCTTTAGACATTTTAGCTACTTAATTATATTTAAGAATGAGAGAATATGAGAGAAATTGTTTTCCCTCTTTTCTTTCCATTTCTTTTCCTATTCATTTTCCTTACCAGATCACCAAATAAAATGAAACATTAGTGAATGTGTGAAAAGGAACTTGCACCAGTTTCAATTATTTTTTGAACATTTTACTTGAGCTATGGTATATAAAGAGAATACTAATATTTCTTAATCCATTACAGGCACTATGTGCATAACTTTTTCTAGCTAAGTAACATTGTAGTCTCACTGTTTAAAGGTGACAACAGTCCTCCATAGAGTAAGAAAATGAGATTACAAAAGATAAAATAAATAGATGTTTTTGGATCTCGCATTGAAAACCCTCTTTTTTTCTTGAGAAATCCTGAAAAATATTCATTTATTTTTACGGTGGGTTCCATATTTCATATGTATACAAGTCTTTTACGTTAATCATTATTATTACTATTTGATAAGTGCGTCTTTTAGTTTTACCTTTTTTTTTTTTTTTTTTTTTTTTTTGGACAAGTACATCTTTAACTCTTACTACTACTTTTTTCAGATAAGTACGTCTCTTACTTTTACTATTATTATATGTTATATGAAACCAGAAAGAAGAAATAACAGGATAAATTGTGGATATCAATGTAGGAAATAATGATGTGGAAAACAAGACAGGTTTTCTCTAAAATGGCATTGTAGACCAATTGAAGGGATGTGGTGCAACTGGAGGTAAAGGTTGTGTTGTGCATTAGTAGTGGAGATATTCTTCATCTGGTGTCCATCATATATCACTTTTTTTGGCTCTGACAAGATTAAGTGCTTCTAAATTACCCAAAGGATGCTGAAACATGTATGAAGCATATATATAGTTGTATCTGCCCAAACATATAGCAAACAAATCATCCTACTACTACTACTAACGATAATAGGAATAATAAAAGAGACAAATAAACTCTAAGGGGTAGGCTCAAGTGGGTAAGTCACTTGGCCCTGGAAGCATCAGAACTAAGGTTCGACTCCTCTTGGGTGCAAACAATTCCTTGAGGGGGGTGTGTGAGTATCAGCTAGGGAAAAAATAAAAGAGATAAATAGTTCATCTTTCTCCCTTGATATAACTGGAAAAAGATGTGGGAGTGTTGGACTCAAAAGTAATTAAAAAAAAAATTTACAATTATGCTCAGCCGATGCGTGGAGCCATGGGGGAGAAATTAGGAATAGACCTAACCTATGGCAAAATAAAAATAAATGAGTAAATTATTTAGACAGCCAAAATGAAAACACTAGTAAGAACTAAGAAGTACAGTCCAAACTTGGAGATAAAATACAATAAATTTACACACAATTGTCTGGAGGGTATATGTCAAACTCCATTGGTTGATGAAAGGACTAAGAAAAAGGAAAATAATGCAATGTATTTTAATGGTTGAATAAGGAAAGTGACCATGACTAAGCCAAAAAGGTTGTACAAGGTACCATAGAGTGGGGGACTAAATATGGAGAAAACTAAAAATCAAATTTTAAGTTTTTTTTTTTACTCCACTTTCCAAGGAACGTGGAATTTTTTTTTACATAAATAACAGTATATATTAGGGTACAAGGTTCCAGAATCTAAACAAAGAAATCAACATCATGATTCACTACTCTGACATAAAAAAATTATAGAAGAATCAAGAATGCAGTCATCACACCTTCGTTTATAGGAATCTAGGTTTTCTGTCTGCTGGCTTCAAAATCTGGAAAGAGCACATTAAACTTTCATCAACACTCATCATTGCGCCGGCATTATCAAATTCACCACAGTAATTGGGAGCAGAGAATATTGTAACAAGCTGTCTGTCGGCAAAGAATTCATACCCATCCTCCACAACCTGGAAAAAGAAACATTCTAGTAAGTATCATGAGTGACATGAAACAAACCAAGACCAAGAAGAGAACGTCAATAACCTGATGTGCACGACAAACAAGGTCCATATCGTGCTTCATTAAAAATTCTGCCACCATATCATGGCCAAAGGTATACGAGACTCCCCGGTCATTCATTCCCCAACCTTTCATCTCTCTGCTAGGATCCGACCAAAGTAAATCACAAAGCAAACCAGAGTCAGGAACATCAGTTGGACGAGATAAGTTTCTTATCTGATCTAAATTTGCTAGATCAGGGGAAAGACCACCATGCATACACAATATTTTTTCGTCTATGAGAGCAGCCACAGGAAGGCAATTAAAACAATCAGTGAAGATTTTCCAAAGTCTCACATTAAACCGGCGTTTACATTCATCATAAAATCCATAAATCCTGTTAATGGAAGCACATTCATGATTTCCCCTTAAAAGAAAGAAGTTCTCTGGGTATTTTATCTTATAGGCAAGCAGAAGGCATATTGTTTCCAAACTCTGCTTGCCGCGGTCCACATAATCCCCTAGGAATAAATAATTGGCTTCAGGAGGAAACCCTCCATATTCAAAAAGCCTTAAAAGGTCACCATATTGCCCATGGATGTCACCTGAAATTCAGGAAAACAAAAGTACTCCGATTAAAAACAAGAATGCAGCAAATTATCTGAAAAGAAAGAAAGAAAGAAATATATAGAATTAACAACTTATATAAAAATAAATTAAAAAAATTAAGAAAAATAAGATATGCGAAAAGTCTCCAAACGATCCGAAGGAAAATGATGGTAAGAATGAACATGATAATTCCGGTCTATTGACCCATCCAGATTAAGGGGAGTACGGCCTCATTAGTCTTCCCTGATGTTGCAAATTTTAAGACCATGTTTCGTAATTTTAGAAACCGTCTGGTTGTTAGTTGATATCTGGGCTAAAGCTCTTGCATTTGGATTCTTTACATGAATGGGTCTCTTCAAGCCCTTGGTCCAGGATGGAGTCAACTGGCCCACCATATTTGGTAGCATCATTATGTTAAAGGAGAAGTACAAGAATACTTGCTACTTTCATATACCAATAAATGTTTTTTAAGAAAGAATTCCTTGTGAATTGACAAGGCAAATAACAAGTAAGAGGTAGATGTGTATTTTTATACTGGTGCTAGCTAGACTATCAGACTCTGGCTAGTCCCCTGTATACTTTTCTCATGTAACACCAAATGTGGCATGCTAAAGCAAATTTCACCTGTTAGTTACTTTAGCAATATAGACCACTCTTAAGTAGAGTGGTATAGTGGGGAACAGAAATCACTGATCAAATGAGATTAAAGGGTGTTGCATACGATTTCCATGCAAACCAGAGCAGTATAAGATTGCAAGTATGGAGATATATCATTATACGGTTATACCATAATGTTATTCCCTTTTTAAAATTCCTGCTTGCACAATTAAATTGGAAGTGTTGAGCATGATGAATGTCTTGTATCATCTCTTGTACGGACTGATGACTCCTATCAAACTAACAATGACACTGTTAAAATGTATGAACTGTCTTGTCATCTATGTTACCTAGACTCTTCAAAAGTAAATAGGGCTGCAAAATGAACCAAGCTGTTCATGATCAGATTGGGCTCAGCACTGCTCATTTGTTAAGCAAACAAAAATAGCTCAAGCTCAATTTCTAGGCTCGTTTAGTAAACAAGCCAATCCTTGAACAGTATTGGGCTCAGATCGTCTAGGCTCGTGAACATGAACTCGTGCAGACTCGTATACTTTCGTGAACATAGGCTCATATAAGCTCATGAACACGTTCATAAGCATAGACTTGTATAGGTTCATGAACATAAGCTCGTGAACATAGGCTTGTGTAGGACTATATAAGCCAAAAACATCACACATAAGTAGTTAGAGGAATGAACTTGGAAAATCACAAGGGAAACCTGATAAAAATGTGGCTCTCTTCTCAAATTAATATGAGTTGCAAATTAGCACTTTTTGATATTTTGAATAATGGGGTCCTAACCATATTCTTTTAGGGACCTAAGCATGTGAACGCAAATTGCCCACCTCATAATCAAAACCCAAGGCCAACTCATGGACAGTAGGTACCTCTTTAACACCAACTGTTTATGTTTTATAGGTAAAGTTTGATACATAAACTGCCAAAAACACGATATGAACCAAATAATTTTTAATATAAATAAAGAGCATCACAAATGAGCAAGACATTAACTTTAAACAGTAATCATGTGATTTGCAACAATGTTGATCCAAGTAAAAATCCATCCACAAGCACCACTAAACTCTCCACATAAACCAGTAAAACACTTCTCACGTAATGAATAACGTAAAGGACAAAGGAATCAACCAGCTAATCTCATAATCCATATTACCTTTTAAAAGAATATTTTTCCATATTGTCCTTCCATTCCACCTAAATCAAATTCCATCATAATTAATTTGTTCAATAGAGACAAGGTTTTATGCGTGATAAAACTTCAATCCTTGGCCTTCAGAATGGATAAATATGATGGGACATACAGAAAAACAAAGAAGGACAAATATGGTACATGTGACCAGTTTTACTGAAGGTTATTGGATGATGACATCCAAGACCAAAATAATACCTCAGAAAATTCCACAAAAATAAAAATAATTAAATGATTAAGAAACTATAATTGAGATCAATAGTTGAATACAAACACACAGTGATACTGCAATAAAAGGCAATTCAAGCGGCCAAGTAAGCATTAAAAAAATATTTGATCAATGGCTCCGAAGTGATTCAGTAACTCATACACCTGATCAAAGGAAGTTGAATGCACCCAACGTATACATGTTTAGTTATTAAATGAAGGAAGAAAGAATAGGCATGGTTCTAAGTTGTGGTAATTTTCTTTCTAGGCAATGGAGTTTGAACCATGATAGAAACATCAGGCGAGGCATACTAGGAATTGGATATCGATACTGAGTTTTTAGTCATTAGCAAACCACCAAAAAGCAAATGATACACTTTTGTTTTAATCCCAACTTGTTAAATTTTAATGTTTAAAATTATTTTTGGTCAATGTTATGGCACCTAGAAAACATTTTACATATCATACTAGACTTTATGGCACCTAGAAAATATTTTACATATCATATTAGACTTTATACAGATTTTAAGCCAATCTGAGAATGAAATACCATCAATATTGAAAAAGCATTCACTAACTAATACAAATAATAACTAAAAATGCAGTTACGAATCATAAATTTTAAAAATAACAGATAAAGCCATTTCATGGTTACTAACTGCATTTTTATCTTTTATACTTGAACAATATAAAGTATAAGATATTATAAAGTATTTTTTAACACTCTCTCTGTCTCTCGAACACTATAAAGTATAAAAAAAAGTTCACAACCCTCCTTCATACTCAGGTCTCTCCTCGCACTTAGCTTACTTCCTTGCACTTAGTTCCTCCACCAGGGGGGTGCTCAAAGCCCCCCTGAAAGCTCAAGTTTTTCTTGCAAGGTCGAGTCTCTCCCTTGCACCCAAGTCCTCCCTGCGAGCTCAGGCCTCTCATTGTGGTCACTGGAAACTCCCTACAGTGCCAACTGAGCCTCCATTCTTCTTTCTCAAGTCTCGAACATCTTTTCTTGTCTGTTAGAAGTCATTTCATAGCACTTCTATCGGACAAGGGGCAAAAGACTAAGACATAGAGCGATCGTTAATTAAAAGAGAAAAAAAATGCAAAGAAATGACATAATGACAGGATAGTCGAGTTGATATAATCTCATATGTTTTCTTCAATAGCGACGACAGTCAACTTTTACTCTAAAAGCATTATAGTATGATGTGTTAGATGTGCATGAGAAATTACTCTGGTTTGCACAATAACATTACAAACATAAACCATCCATTGTTCATTTTTAGTGTTATTTCTGGTCATTTGCTATTATTTATCACACACTTTTTGCTTTATCCATGTCTTTTATGTGATTAACAAGAAAAGTGCAATAGGTAATTTTGTAATCTGAATTTGTTGTGGCACATTCCTCTGTACCTCCAAACCATTGATTGTGGCATTCTGAAACTCTCATCCCTTGTGGAGTTTCCGGAATCTCAACAAATATTCTGATACATGCAGCTTTGACACCCATCAAGACTATCTGTTCTTTTATATTGTGCGGAGGATTCTGTCGAAAAGTACTATTATTACTCATGGAATTGTCACATAGATGCATCTTGCATCCCTCCTATATTTAATATAGGGTAAATTACTCCGACTTCCCCCTAAGGTTTGCTTTAATTACCCGACTAAAGTTGTGAAAAAATTTTGGTTGACTTAACTCTCACCACCCCTGCCTTAGTTGACCTAAAATAATAATTTTAAAATTCCAAAAATGCCCTTATGCAAAATAAAATGATAAAATTAACTTTATAAATATTTTAACACTTAATCAATACAATATTTATATATATAATTGAAATTAATTTTTTATCAAGCAAGCTTTTAGAGTTAAATTTTATAATTACATAATTTTAATTTTAAGGGTAAAATATGCAAAAAAAAAAAAAAAAAAAAAAAAAAACTAATTAACGCAAACTAAATTAGTATATATAATAATTTAATGTCAAAATTAATATGTATAAATAATTGAATATATAAATTTCATTAAAAATACATATATGCATATGCATACACATTAAACACACATATTTATAATTTATACATTACATATGTACATACAAGCAATAAACCTCCACCAGTAGTGACCACTGCCACAACCACGACCGTTTTTTTTTTACCTCCACCAACCACCTCCTTCCTCAAATATCTCTCTCTCTCTCTCTCTCTCTCTCTCTAGAATCTCCCAATTCCGTGGCCAAACTGGTCACTAGCATACCCATCTCACGAACCCATTTCAAGCCTTAATTTATCAACTCCGTCACTCCCCAACGCCATATCCACCGCCGACATTACCGTCACCATTGCCATCTAATATCTACTGAAATCTAAGGAATTATGTGTTTCATTTTGCCCTAAAACATTGACAGGAAGAGAGAGAAATCATAGAACATACAGTACAACATTATCACCATTCAACTCTCTCCGACTCATTTCTCATCTCTGCCGGCAATAGCTTGTTGTAGCCCTCTTGCCATCTTTATTCAGAGTTAGGGACATTTCATAAGCTTAACTCTTGCAATTGGGTGGGGGGTTTTAGTGCTTATGTCAGGGAGATTAAACGGTGAAGGATAGTATGAATCAAACCCACCACCATCCACCTCATCTATGTATAGGGTAAGAGAGTATTGCGGTATATTGTTGTAAATTGGGGCTTGGATAACAAAGGAGAGAGAGAAAGAGTCATGCAATTGTTGTGGATTTGGGGTTTCGTTTGATAACAGAGGAGAGAGAAAAAGATGTTGCACTGGTTGTATTAAGAGAGAGAGTTGGGGCAGTGGTGGTAGAGAGAGATTGAGGCGGTGGTGTAGAGAGAGAAGGGGCGCCGCCATGAGCAAAAGAGGATGGTGGAGGTGGCAGTTGGTGAGAGGAGTGGTGGCTCGTGACAGGGATATAAATATATATATAATTGACGAATGTACATGTGTAATATGTATATAGATTAGAAAGTAATGGACTAATATGTTTATATTTATTTAATTTTTTTTTTGTTTATGGGTATTTTTGTACTTTCAATACAAAAGTTTAAGGACAAGGGGTGGTGATAGTAATTTTGTCAAAAGTTTCATCTATGGGTAATTAAGCTAAACCTCGAGGGAGGTTAGAGTAATTTACCCTATAATATACTATCTAAATTCTTCACATTGTTATCTTATGATAAGAGGTCACTTCTATGGATTACATTAGTGGCTCTTTCATCTCATGCTTACTCATTCATGACTAAAGCTTGAAAACACATTTCTACCACCTGCATCATTATGCAAAAGGACTTGAAATGATGGGGATCCCCAGCCCTCCAGGGGGTTTTACTATAATATACCAAGGACCTCCATTCTACGGATAAACCTCTGGCCGATCAACAGGCATGAGGCCCCTCTCCATTTAGATGGCCTCCTATCTTCCCTCAGGGAACTCCTTTGTATGGATAAGTCTCGAGGTGCAAACACTTCCTAGATGTCAACAAGTATATCAAACTTTGTCAAATAACAGTCCATATTGTAACAAACTCCTATAGAAGAGTCCTGCGTTGTAAACGTGTAGCTGAAGTCCGTGTCCCACTAGGGTGCACAAAAAAATGGTGGAACCGATAAACCGGACCAAACCATAAAGTTTGGTTCAGTCCTGGTTCTGAAAACAGAGAACCATTGCTGAATAGTCCGGTTTTGGTTTAAGGTCCGGTAGAACCTAATTGTACCGGTAAATATTATTTTATATATAGTAACAGGTAACCCTAATTCTAATCTCACACCGTCACCCTCTTTTGCTCTCCCACTCATTGCTCTTCTCCTCATTTAAACCCATAGCCAACCATCTCAACCCTCAACCACTCTTCTCTCTCCCTCTCGATTCAACGCCACCGCCGACCATCTTAACCACCATTGTTGTCAACCACATTAGCTCTCCCTCTCTCTCTTACATCCATCTATGGCGACCACACCTCACCCCTTACGCCTAACGCACAGCCAACGGGAGGATTGAGAGCAAGCAAGGATGACGACGGCAATTTGCCGGAGATGATATCCATTTGGCCTTTGTTGATTAGAGTGTAGTTGGCAACCAATTTAGATTTTGTGATGCAAGTGATTTACATTTGGGACTATCATCTTAAGCTCTGTTACAATGACTCTTCAAAAGTAGTGAAGTACCCGGGGCGGACACACATCCCTCGAACATGGGTATGAGATATGTGTCCGACACTTTTGGTTGAACATGTACTTAAAAAGCATATACAATCATTCAATTACATTATATTATTACTTTAAAATGAGTTAAATGCCAATATTGAACATTATATTAGATAAAAACATTACTTTACTCTAGAAAATAAAATGAATATTTAGCCGTGTCTGTGTGTCCTTCTATTTGGAGATTTGACACGTCCGACGCATGGATACATAACCATGTCCGACACCCGTACCCGAGTCCATGTAACATAGATCTTAAGTTCTTAACTTATCAATTCTCTTTGAGGAAGTGAGCGTATCTGAAGATTTTTTTTGAGTTATTGTTCCAATTGATGAAAATATTGAAATTAAGCACCATTCATTATCTAGAAATTTCTAACCAAGATTTCAGTTGTTGTTCCAAGTATCCCAAATTGTTATTTCAGTTATTTGATAAGTCTGATATACACGTTGACACTAGAAAACCTCCCCTCTATGGGTAAGCCTCGTAAAACAATTGATAAGCTCCCTCGGTACCGATAAAACTTGATGACAAACTCGGGACATATGAGGAGCTCCTATATACTGATGAACCAACTTCACTCATTACGAATATCTATCAAAAGCTCCTAAACGTCACTCCTACCTAATAGGGGAAAAAATACGGGTACCTAGTCCTTCTCAAACACATGGCAGTAAGAGTGTCACGAGCAACTTAAAATTTATATTGTGGATTTGAGAAAACTTCCTAAACTTAGGGATCCTTGGAAAAAGGTAATCTTTTTACTTTGACATTTCAACTGGACATCAACTTTGGGACAATAAAAAATGAAGTAAACTGACAAGTACTTTGGGATTAAAGGAGTACAAAGGAAAAGAGAAAATAATGGAAGAGACGAAAGGGGCCTCTTCCCTAAGTCCACCGTATTCCTTCCTCCCGATAATGATGAAAAAGGGCAGAGAAAGGGCTCGTCGCCTTTTTCTTTTATGTTCCCTTCAAACAACACCATTACTTTTAAGTGTAAGAATATAATGATAAAATGTTGAATCACACCTTTCCTTCCTTCAATATTTAAGCTTCACCAAACAATAGGAGGAAAATACCATCTCTTGGGAATTCCTACATCTCAGTTCTTCCAATTCTCTGCAACACGTGCAAATTGAACCACAAGAAAAACAACCTCTACTCTCATTAATCTCAATTACTCTAACTACTATATCAACATAAGCATAAAGTCTGGACCATAGATAACAACAATTCCATCAAATTCAAGAGTTGCTGCATTCCTTAGACGAAGTTGTGATGGTTGGAAGACAGCCAAAAATAACCAAATCAAACTTTATTTGAATTGCTTTAATCTTTTCAGCATGTTCTCTTGCAAATCAAAATTTAAACTATCTTTGTTTCTTTCCAGAATGTAACATGAGAACTTTTTTATATTTTGGTAAGAACAGGAGACTAAAGCTATGTAACAACAAAACAATTTACAACTTGAAACGTCCTTAAAAGATTCAAACTTTAATTTTCCTACTTATATGACCTATATCGGCCGTAGGAGCATTACAGCATACCTACATTGTTGTCCAAAAATCAATTTTAGTCCCATATCAATCATATATTCTTCTCAATCCTATTCAAGCACATGATAACAACATTGTAAATACATGTGAACCTATATAATAAAGATCACAAAGATTATTCCAAACATTCACATAAATCCAACCTAACAGCGATAGAAAATTATACGCCACACACACATCTATATATATATATATATTTGAGAAGAGAGAGAAAACTCACCGCAGATCTTGATGGGAGCTTCGAGCTCCAAGAGATTGGGTTGTTGGAGGAAGATTTCTTTGGAAACGGTACACAGTTGGCGGATCTCGTTCTCGGAGAGCTGAACTTGCCTGACGGTCCTCGCTTGCCGGAACTCCAAAAGCCGATTGATAATGTCATCAAGGACGGCAGGGTCAATTCCCTGCCCATTTTGTGCCATCGATCTCTTTCCGTTCCGATTAGGGTTTCACAACTCAGAAACCCTGATTTGAACGACGGCGATGAAGAGAGATTGTCGCTGGTCCTTGATTCGAGGCGTCAATCTTTTACTGTTGTATTCGTCTCTCTCTTTTAGATACATACACACAATAGTCTAAATTGGATTATTCTTCTTGGAAACAAGAGAGAAAAGATGGATGTAATCGGTATTATATATATTTATATATATAATAGTGAATAGAATAATGGAAATAGGGAAGATAATGGGTCGTGAGGGGTACGAGAGGCGCGGACTGCAACTCCAATGTGGCGGAGGCGCCTATACCTATGATCAAAATTCGTCTGAGTCGATAAATCCGCTACCCGTGCGTGGTTCTAAATTTGTCCTCAACAATCAGCATCAAAGTCTATTTTCTAAAAGGCCCTTCTAGGGTTTCTGTGTTTTTTTTTTTTTTCTTGCTTTTTTTCTTTCCAAATTAAACTTTCATTTAATTTATTTAAATTTAGATTTTAAGTATAATAGACGATTTAAAAAGGTGCATGTACTATAAACTAAGAACAAACTTAATAAATGTTAAGAAATTATATAAATTAGAAAAAAGCTAAACTATTATATATATACACGTGTACATTGTATTTAGTTAATAGTATAGATCCATTTTAACAGATCTCAAATCATAATTTAAATGTGAATTCACGTTTTTTATTTTTTGAAATTGAAATGGATTCTAAACTTATGGTCTGGTTCGGAACCAACCAATTCATCAGTTTCTTGTGCACCTTAAATGTAAATTAAGTTAATTAAATATGTATTTGTTACTTTTTTAACACCTTGCATATAGGAAACCTACATTTTATCCCCTTTAGAAGCCTCATAAATAATACATTGACATTATCATTATTAACACTGATTTTTTATACAAACCCTCTTTGGAACTCACAATAGCCACTCATAAACTTTTATGAAAACAAAAACATAAATGAACCATGAAATAGCATTGCAATTAGGTTTTATTCATTAACCTTTTTTCTTTTCTTTTCTTTTCTTTTCTTTTCTTTTCTTGCTTGTCCTAAAGGAATGAGAATCTCAAATGGGGTTTTGTAAAGGGACCTTATTGGTGTGGGAGTGGAGAAAGACGTGGATGAGCAGAACTTTCCCTTTTACATTTTTTTATGGAATAAAGGGTAATAAATGTGTGGACGCTGAAGCCTCTCCTCCTTTTCTCGAATGGGGAATTCACCACCACCACCATTAAATCGGATTCTCTTGTGTCATTACATTTACATTTACAACAATTTCGCATGACGCTTATGTGTATGTTTTTTTTATTATTATTATTCTCATGTGTACCATTTTTTTTTTTTTTTTTGTGTGTATATTATATTAGGAGATGTAGTACATTGCACTTAGTAACCACCAGCACGTGATATTTTCCCAGAAAATGATTCGGATTCTATTATTATTATCATTTTTAAAGAGAAGAATTATGAAGTGTAAGAAAGAAACTGAATGTTTCAACCATAATGTCACGAAGTGATTCCTAAGACGCTTGGAGGATGGAAGACACGCATGCTGGTTGGCAAAGAGCAGAGTTTGACTGGGAATGGTTCCAGGGAAGGGGCGTGCAGGAGCACAGGATGGTACCTCTTCAGAGTTCAGGCAGGTCGACTCGGTTCAGTTCGAGGTGCTTGTCGCTGGTCTTGGACTTGACTATGAAGAAGGGAGTTGGCCATCCCTGCACAAACTGGTCGGGAGCTGGAGCCGTTCCCCTGACGAGGCCATGGCAGGCCGAAACCAGTCAGCATGTATCCTTGGGAGGGCAGGTCGTGGTGGCTGACCAGGGCGCTTGCGCAAGCTGAAGCAACGCCTTGGTGCCGCACGAGCCGTGCCGCTGCGCCAAATCTCTAGGCCCGTGACAAATGGTATCAGAGCAGGACTTGGGGTAAAGCACGGTGGGGTGCCCCCTTGTTGGTCCGGGAGGGGTCAGAGAATGAAGACGGTGCATTGAAGTTGCGTCGATGTGGAGGAATCAATGCAGTTGGGGGGGAGAGCCTCCATCTCCCCAGGAAGAGGCGTCCGTTGAAGTTGCGCATTGAAGGGCCGGAGGGCCGCGCGCACCAAAGTTCGTGCTTAGTCCTTGGGTGATGCAAACCATGGTGAAGGGCGAGCATCAAGTCGGCAGAAGGCCATTGCTTGCTCGGGATGTCGCGGAGGCGGCATGACGGAGAAGAGTCACGTCCTTGAGGAGTGGACGTCCCCTTGGTCCGAGGCCTATCATTGGGCGAGTGCAGTGCAGGGAGCTGCACAAGGAAGCGATGGTGGGAAGGCGAGCATACCGCATGGAGGCAGACTTTGGAAGGGAGTGGACGCAGTAGTGAAGCGCCGCACTGCGACGAGGACGTCGCAGGATTTGGGTGGGGGAGAATGTCACGAAATGATTCCTAAGACGCTTGGAGGATGGAAGACACGCATGCTGGTTGGCAAAGAGCAGAGTTTGACTGGGAATGGTTCCAGGGAAGGGGCGTGCAGGAGCACAGGATGGTACCTCTTCAGAGTTCAGGCAGGTCGACTCGGTTCAGTTCGAGGTGCTTGTCGCTGGTCTTGGACTTGACTATGAAGAAGGGAGTTGGCCATCCCTGCACAAACTGGTCGGGAGCTGGAGCCGTTCCCCTGACGAGGCCATGGCAGGCCGAAACCAGTCAGCATGTATCCTTGGGAGGGCAGGTCGTGGTGGCTGACCAGGGCGCTTGCGCGAGCTGAAGCAACGCCTTGGTGCCGCACGGGCCGTGCCGCTGCGCCAAATCTCTAGGCCCGTGACAAATGGTATCAGAGCAGGACTTGGGGTAAAGCACGGTGGGGTGCCCCCTTGTTGGTCCGGGAGGGGTCAGAGAATGAAGACGGTGCATTGAAGTTGCGTCGATGTGGAGGAATCAATGCAGTTGGGGGGGAGAGCCTCCATCTCCCCAGGAAGAGGCGTCCGTTGAAGTTGCGCATTGAAGGGCCGGAGGGCCGCGCGCACCAAAGTTCGTGCTTAGTCCTTGGGTGATGCAAACCATGGTGAAGGGCGAGCATCAAGTCGGCAGAAGGCCATTGCTTGCTCGGGATGTCGCGGAGGCGGCATGACGGAGAAGAGTCACGTCCTTGAGGAGTGGACGTCCCCTTGGTCCGAGGCCTATCATTGGGCGAGTGCAGTGCAGGGAGCTGCACAAGGAAGCGATGGTGGGAAGGCGAGCATACCGCATGGAGGCAGACTTTGGAAGGGAGTGGACGCAGTAGTGAAGCGCCGCACTGCGACGAGGACGTCGCAGGATTTGGGTGGGGGAGAATGTCACGAAGTGATTCCTAAGACGCTTGGAGGATGGAAGACACGCATGCTGGTTGGCAAAGAGCAGAGTTTGACTGGGAATGGTTCCAGGGAAGGGGCGTGCAGGAGCACAGGATGGTACCTCTTCAGAGTTCAGGCAGGTCGACTCGGTTCAGTTCGAGGTGCTTGTCGCTGGTCTTGGACTTGACTATGAAGAAGGGAGTTGGCCATCCCTGCACAAACTGGTCGGGAGCTGGAGCCGTTCCCCTGACGAGGCCATGGCAGGCCGAAACCAGTCAGCATGTATCCTTGGGAGGGCAGGTCGTGGTGGCTGACCAGGGCGCTTGCGCGAGCTGAAGCAACGCCTTGGTGCCGCACGGGCCGTGCCGCTGCGCCAAATCTCTAGGCCCGTGACAATAAGGTCTAAAACATTCATGTTGCAAGACCAAGGGCTTATTTAGTTGAGCTGTCTCAAGATGGTTTTTAAGGACTCTAAAATAATCTATTTAGAGAATTACAAAAAAAAGGTATGAAATCAGACTTTTTAACCCAATTGTCAGAAAAGAGTATTTTTTAACTAACAACAAAATTATTTTTCAAAATTTTTTTCCGTTCTTCAGTTTTCGAAGGACATAAAAACTGAAATATGCAAAAGAAAAGATTGTGGAGCACTAAGCTCCTGTTCACAGAATTTCAATCACTCAGTCACGTATTTCATTGTGTGTGTGTGTATATCCAATTTTGAAATTACAAATGTGCAAATATTATTATTATTATTACTTTTTTTTTTCCAAACAATTCCCAACATTGCTGCAAACTTTGTCCCTAACTGCCAAAAGACTCAGAACCAACAGAAAGTATAACCACAACATTGTCATGAGTAATGTATGTGTAAAGGGAGAATAATTCAACAGTGTTTTATAAATACTCTGATAAATGCCTCTGCTTTGATTCAAACTTGAAACTCTCTCAACTTACAAGAACACATGGCTAAGTCCTTGGTTCTTCTTGTTGTGCTAGTTTTCTTCACCACAGTCCAAGCCACTAATCCAAACTCCGACGCTGACTTCACTGTCCCTAGCGGCATGAAGATTGATGGTGATTTCTTCACCTACACTGGTCTCCGGGGCAGTCCATCCTCTTCCAGCAACGGCATAGACAAAAAAACTGTAACCATGAAAAACTTCCCAGCTCTAGATGGGATGGGGATTTCAATGGAACTGCTAGAATTTTCGCCTGGAGCAGTTAACGTGCCCCACACCCATCCAAGAGGAGCCGAGATCATGTTCGTCGTAGACGGTGCCTTGACTGTTGGCACCACAGATAGCACAGGGCAGCTGTACAAAAATGATTTGCAGAAGGGTGATGTGTTTGTGTTTCCTACGGGCATGGTTCATTACCAAGCCAATTTTGACAAGAGTAACAAGGCCATTGGTGTTTCCGCATTCAGCAGTGTGAATGCTGGCACAATCGATCTTCCTAAAAACATATTTGGATCTAATATGCCAGGTGAAGTCCTAGCCAAGGCTTTTAAGATATCTGCTGACACTGTCCGCCAACTCGAGACGAACCAGATGTAAATGATTTGAAAAAACTGTGATATGACTTGGTCCGAAAAGCATTTACTAAGGTAATATATAATAAAAGCAAAGCTTGTTCAATAGATCTATAATGAAATGCATGAATAACAATTTGTCAGGTTTAAAAGTGTTGATTTCTAATTATAACTATTGTCTTATGATAATAATCATTAGAAAATGAGAGAACATTTCTCTCAAACTCTAAATATAGCAATCATAGGATCATAGTAATATAACTCACTATTGTCTTATGATAGTAATATTAAGAAGCTAAGAAAATATTTCTATTTAATTATAACAACCCTAGGATCATAGTACTTATGAGTTATGGTAGCAGATATCCTATGATTTTGGTCACCATAAAGATGGCAAAGCAATCCATCATGGACTCCATTAATGTGCATTATTATATATAAAGATACTCCCACTTTCAATGGCAAAGAAGGCTGGGAAGGATTCTTGCTTTTAAATGTTATTATAGAATAGCTATGACCAGTCCTCTCCCCATCAAAACATATATATGTATATATATACACCAATCAGTGCATCAGAGATCCAGCCAAACAGTTGCTAAACTGCTTTATTGTTATTACTGCAATTCATCAATTGATTAACTCAATTATGATGTGTTCCATCAACTTTTTGGCAGGGAATAATATGCTACAAACATTATTAACTCATAAATGTGCCTATAGGCCAAAACGTGACTTTTTCAAAGGCAAAAGGGGTGATACACTCCTAAACAAATGGATTCATCAAAAGATTTCAGGGAATAGACAAACAAAATAAGGACTAATAATGTCAAAAAGACAACAGGCTTTTTATTACAAGTTAGGAAGTACTCCAACAGACGACAACTAAAAAGAAATACTAAACTCATATGCTGCTTCTTTTGAACCACTCTCTCCCCCCAATTGAGATATTCAGCTAACAGTTCCCAATATCAGTAATTTGCACCTCCCTAAGCCAATATCCATATTGTTGTTTTGACTTTCACAAGCTTGCTTCTCATCACAAGAAAGTAATCTACAGGTCTCTCTCTTGCCGAGAAAAAAGAGGGGAAAAAGTAAGAGGGGTAAAATAATAGATTGTGATCGCTATCAAATCATGTTTCCTTCCTAAATGTCAAGTAGAACAACAACCTCTCTTGTTCACATTCCCCGAGGCATCACCAACATTGATTGTCGTCCCTTGACCGGGAAGTGCAGTGGCGTCAGCAGCTTCCTGTGCTGCCAATGCTTTCTTGCTTATGATGTGATAAATTTCCGTCAAAATGGTTTGGAACGCCTTCTCAATGTTGACTGCTTCCAATGCTGATGTCTCCAGAAAGGAAAGTCCTTCCTTCTCAGCCAAGGCCTGACCATCCTGCTCTTGGATGGCTCGGAGATGGTTTAGGTCCGACTTATTTCCAGCCATCATGATGACAATGTTAGAGTCTGCATGGTCTCTCAATTCACGAAGCCACCTCTGAACATTGTCAAAAGTTTGTCTCTTGGTTATGTCATAGACAAGGAGTGCACCAACAGCTCCTCTGTAATAAGCACTGGTAATGGCTCGGTACCTCTCCTGGCCCGCAGTGTCCCATATCTGCGCCTTAACTGTCTTCCCATCTACCTGTATCATAAATATGTCTAGATTACTGCATTATTGCTGACATGTAATAAAGCCATTTTCTTCAAACTTCAGTTTCACCGCATTAATTATGATCATCAGGGAAAGAAATGATTAGATTGCTCATCCACTTTATGCATCCCACTTTATACATCAGTTGGTACTCTTAATTCTAGTGAATATACCTATACTCAGGCTCAAAAAGTTCCTTTCTAAAAGACAATTACCATTATTCTGTTCAGTGAAATCTACGTTAAATTTCAAGAATGTTTCAAGGCCCAGTTACTGCATTGGTGTTTTTTCTCAATCAGGCACAATATAAAATCGAACTACCAAGAGTTATGATAGGCCCTCCGAAAGTGGAAGGCCAAACAGAAGCTGAAAGCATGCGATGCTGGTGCATCCAGATAGAAGTTCGGCCCGAGGGCAATCATTTTCCAACTATCAAATAACACTTCTATTCAAGAAATAATGCATATCAATTTATTTGTTAAGGAGATCATGTAGCCTCCGAACAATATGGTATAATAGATCATCGCATTCAAAACTCCATTTACTGAAACAACGCAACTCCCATCTTTAACCCCATGTCCCGTCATCACCATTAGCCAACAACTAATTAAACACAAAGTGTTCAAACAACAAGCCCGTCCAAAGACTTGAATTTTCATTATCAGAATTCATTCAATTTATATTCAATTTATTTAGATCGAGTGAGAAGAATAAATCCCTAATCCCACCTCTCCCTTAAAGAAGTCGTGTCAACACCCTTACCATTATGCTACAGGGAATTTAGCTTCGGCAGCCAACACACAATATTATACATAAAAATCACTAAATCATCACACATACCTACAAACAAAAAAATGTTATAAGAATATCTAACTGTCATATATCCCAATATTAAATCTTTAACCCAATAGCTTGACAGAGAAAAACGATCAGTCCAATAACAACACAAAACAATCAGAAAAATAAAATAATTTAGTCCAAGTCCTCAATTAGCACTTGAGGTCAAAGTATATTTCAATTTTTCATTTTTAAAAAAAACACCAAATGAACAAAAAACAGAGCATAGAAATTGACCTGAAGAGTTCTGGTAGCGAACTCAACGCCGATCGTCGACTTGGACTCCAAGCAGAACTCATTTCTGGTAAATCTGGAGAGAATATTGGATTTACCAACACCAGAATCTCCGATCAACACGATCTTGAATAGATAGTCGTACTCGTGGTCCACCCTATGCGCCATCCTTTTAACTGCTCTTCACTATCTCACACCTACCAAACAATAAAAATCAGATTCAGATCCAAGCCATTCAGTACACATAGATCTAATCAGATTCAAAACAAACCCTAACATACATATACATATGCGTATAAATATATGTATGCATGTATGTATATAAGTATATGTATCTTACTCTTACCGTAATATAGGGGATTGGATATATGAGGAAAAGACCAGGAGAGAGAAATGGGTCTGAAATCGTCTTAGTCACAAGAAGATGGAGAAATTGGATGGACTTTGTCTTTGTACGAGTCCTCCTCACTCAGGGTTTTTGATTTGCAAAAGAAAAAATACAAGCGGAACAAACGATGAAAAAGCTGTTTTAAAAAGAACTTCTATATATCTCTCTGTATATACACTCTGTATTAAAATTCATTTTGTAATAAAGAAAATTAGAAAAATATATATGAGAGGCTATAGTTGGACTTGGACCATTCTTTAATTTTTGTTTAAAAACAAAAATTAAAAAATTGCATTCGTGATGTTCCAAATATATTACAATATTAGAATCTTCTCTGGAATGTGTTTAAACACACCTGGCATTGATAGTGGGGGCAGACCGGCAAGCTGTTGCCAGGAGGAATGTTAGTGGTGGACTTGGCGAACTTTCATTTGCCTTCAAAAAAAAAATGAGTATTTTTTTGCCTTTATTTTATTAGGAAAATATAATTTGCCTTTTATTTATTTACCTCGAATTTGCTTTGAGTGATTCTGATGGTGAAAAAACATAAGTCGCGCGTTTTGACCGTCGGCTCTTTTCATGATCGTGGGATCTGGACCGTACACTCCACCTGCGCTTTGTTTGACATTCCGATTGTGGCGGATATCATATAAGCTCCCATCCTTGTGCACGGTTTGGCACATAATGAATCCATAGGTCGTTGCTGTGCTAACTTGTCCTTGGATAAGGGCGGAGCCGGTGTGCGTCTGAGGAGACACATGCCCCCTGGTCTGGGCGGTCTTATATATATATATATATATATATGTAATTTTTAATAGGGTAAATTACACTGACACCCCTTGAGGTTGGATCATATTTCAGGTAGATGAAAATTTTGGTTTTAACTTTCACTTACACCCCAACTTACTTTTACACCTCTCATACATGTGAATTGACCATTGTACCCTTAATTGTTTAATACAAAATATTTATAATCTTAAATGACAAAAAAACTCCTATACAAATATATATCCCGTCCCAGTTATTACAGCGACCGCTACACCTCCTGCATCTGCCACCACCGCCCCTTCATCGCTGTCGGCGCCGCTCGTCTGTTCTACCGTCTTCATCATTAGCTATTTTGCTGACCTGGGAAAAGGAATATATATATATATATATATATATATATATATATATAATTATAAAAAAAAGATAGAGTAACAGACACACCTTATTCCCTTTCCTTCCCTTACGACTGCAAAATCTCGAGGAGGATATAAAGAGACAGAGTTTTAGAGAGAGAAATACGAGTTTTAGAGATGGCAGCGGACGCACCGTGCTGTGGGACTATGTTCGCGTTGTATGTGCTGATAATCATAGGACTTGTGATCTTCGTTGGTCTCATGGCTGGTCTTATTCTTCGCCTCATGTCTTTCGGCCTCGTCGACCTCGAAGTCCTCATCAAGTCAGGCCGTCCCCAAGATCGCATCTACGCTTGTACACTCTCTCTCTATATATATACTTATATGCATATATATAATAAATCTACCCACTACACTACTATTGCTCTCAAATTTTTGATATTTATACAAGAATTATGCAATTTTGTTTCTGGGCAAATGGGGATTATGCTGTTTTCAATTTGGGTTTTGTGTTATTTTTCTTTATATGCTAATATTGGTTGAGAATTTCAAATATTGTTGGGACCTCTGAAACACAAAATATTCTCTTAGTTGACTTAAATTCGACTATATGTTTGGGTGGAAATCTTCTTTTTTGATTTTTAGAACAGCGTGATATATATAATTCAATTTTGTTTGCCTTTTCCCCCTCAATTTTTTAGGAGCTAAGTGGACGGAATAGAGATAGAGTAACAGATACACCTTCGTTTCGAACTGTCGTCCATCATCACTAGACCCATTTCGCCGCTGTGCACTCCATTCTCACCGGTGAAGACATTTTCGTAGCCCGCCAGTAAATTTTTCAGGCTGCGAGATGGTTGTGACGATGGAGAGAGTTTGGACGGAGTGTTCCCGCTGCCATTCCGTACCGTCGTCCATGTTGAGCTGCTCAATCCGTCACCGTCAAGACACAAAACCTTGCCATCATCTTCACCATCGCCGGCCCATCAACCACCAACCATCTCTGTCGCTTCAAACCTGCCGTCCATCATCACCATAGACCCACTTCGTCGGCGTGCACTCCATGCTAACCTGTGAAGACAATTATGCCGGTAAGTTTGCCAGACACGTTAACCGTCCACTCATGGTCATAGCCTCCTGTTCTCGCCATTCTATGCCGCCTTGCAATCACTTCATCCATCATCACTAACGCCGAAACAAACCCACCTCAATTCGGCGATTGCCAGCAGCCACCCATCACCGCTTGCCTCTGCGGAACAGACCCACCTCTTACTGGTTCATTCCTTGCCTATTGTTCCTTAAATTTCAGTGTCATCAGTGCCAACATTTCAAGCTTCTCGCCGAGCAACTTATTCCACCAACAAACTCTGCCAATAGGATTCAGTTTGTGTTTTGGGGACATTTTGGTCATTTCAGATGGGTCTGTTGGGGTAGTTAAGTCATTTTATATATGAAATAAAATCAGTACAAAATCAAAAGGGTTTTATAGTCATTTTACACCTAAAAGTAACTCTGACATCACTCCAAATTGACATTTGGGGTGTAAGTGAAACACTAAATCACTCTTTCAAATATAAGTGAAAATTAAAACCAAAATCTTTATGTAGGTGTAAAATGACCTAATCTCAGGGGGTCTGAGTGTAATTTACCCTTTTTAATATAGAAAATTGTATATTATGTTTTTCTAAAATTATTAATTTTAAAAAAAAAAAAAAATTTATTTTTTTCTTTTACTCATTAAATTTCTTAAATTACCTTTTTAAAAAGGTTAAATTTCTTTTATTTAATCATGCTCTAATTTGTTTCCTTCAAAATTCATTTTTCTTTCCTTTTTTTTTTCTTTTTCTTTTTCTTTTTCTTTTTTTTCTAAAAAAAATATCTTACCCCCCTAAATTCAAATCCTAGCTCCGCCCCTGCCCTTAGGCAAAGGTGTCCATGGTGAGCTATCTTAGTGTTGTGATCCCATGGGCACATGGTGGACACTGACATAACCAAGGTGTGGGCATGGTTAAACACTATGCCTCGGCAGACCAAGGAGTGGTATGGTTCAACACCGTGTCTCGGTAGACCAATGCACGAGCTAAGCTTGGTCAAAATTGTCGACAATCGGATTTGTGGGCATGACTTGGTAGTGCATGACTCTGGGGCGTGACTAAGTCCATGATACCCACAAGGCACTGGTTGGGCAACAACTAATGGCTTATCTGACATATTCAATCAGATGTGGCACTTGTTGGTGGTTTTGATCACTAGTATGGCTTATGATCGGTTTTGAGGGCATATCACAAATATGGCATAAAGCTTATATGCAGTTTGTGGCTATGACCTATTCCTATTGGTGGATTTCCTAGCAGTTGGGGGATGTCAGTTGTTTATACATGTTGTCGGGTGCTCATTGGCTATATTACCTATCATCTAGGGGTTGTCAACTATATCTATATGTTGTTGTATTCTGATTGGGAGATTAAGCTAATTAGCTGGGCTTGTCAACCAACTCTAATGTGTCTTAGTGCAAACACATGCAGGCAAGTTATGGGCAATTTTGTTGAGTGAGTATAAAATGGCAGAAAGGAGGCTTGGTTTTGGGCAGAGTGTGCATGGCATGTGCATGCAGTGAGTACTTGAGTTACGTGTTCAAAAATTGGTGTCATTTGAATTCTCTTGTGTTTAACAAGTTTCAACTTAGTCTTATTAATCTTTCTGCCTTCAATTATGTGCATTGTGTGTGTATTAACTAAGACTTGGTGGCCCCAAGTGCCATTACAAAGGGAAAAAAATTCTATAGAAAAATTTGTCCCTGTAACAAGATATGGATTAAGCTTTTCATTAACTTTCAATTTGTCGTTATAATTTGAGTTGTATTTCCAAATGTCGCCTGATAATTGGGACCCATGGATACTTCTAACTGGTTTCAAGTTGAACATATGTCATTCAGTAATACAGTCTTGTAGTTATAATGGATGACCAAGAGCACAATTGCACAAGTGTCAGGATGCAAGCTGAGTGGAGGGCATTAGGTTAAAGACTGATTTGATTGAATATTGATTAAAAGCTATATATACCATTGAGTTTAATTTGAAATAATTTTAAATTGCACTCTCAAAGCAACTCTATTAGTGGCTTTTTTGGCGAAAGTGACCCAATTTTTGAAGATGCAATGCTTTAATGGCATATGGGAAAAGTGGGCCCCATAAAGAGGCTCTTGATTCAGGTCGCCAGAAACCAAGATTGGGTTGGCGATCAGGCCCGCATCAGTTTTCTTTTTCTTTTTTAATTCTGGCCCAAACAGTGTTTTAACCCAGAACATTATTTGGTAAGGCATGTTTGGCTAAAAAAAGGGAAAAAAATTAGTTTTTTTTGCTGATTTTGGTCTTTTTCTTTTTTTTTTTCTTTTTTTTTTTTCCTCAAAATAATTGAACCAAAGAACCGTTAAAGTATTGTTTGGTTGACACAAACAGTGCCTTAAAGGCTTTTTTGGGCAAAAAAGTTAAAAAAAGAAGAAGATAAAAGTGCTTTTTTTAAAATAAAAAAAAAAATTTGTTTTTAAAAATATTCCTACTGACATATAGCCATTTTAGGCACTGTTTGGCTGACCCAAACAGTGCCTTAACGGTTATATTGGCACAAAAACTTATTTTTTGAATTTTTTTTTGAAATAATTCATTATATATATATATATATGTATGCATTTAAAAAAAAAAACTTTTCATTTTTCCTCTATAAATACATCAACCCCCTATTATTCACCTCATATCTAACCCATCTTCTCTAGTTTTCAACCTACAACTATAACCACTAAGTCATCTTCTCAATCTTTTAGCTATATTTTTTACTCAAGTTCAATTCCATGGATCCTCCACCACCATATTACAACTACAACTCTCAATTCAACCAATCAAATAATAATTTTGATCCCTTCTTATTTGTTAGAGAAGAATCTCAATTTGTTCGAGATGAATCTGTCACGGCCCAAGTTTTTGTAAACCCGGTGCGTCAGTGATGACCAAAAGATGACCCGATAATAGATCCGAAATGCGGAAGCAAAAGGTGAAACAACGGTCTCTAGAGATATAATGCATCTCT